TACCTTTTACAGAGAACACCTTTGTATATTTTTAATGCTTACAGGGTTATATCCTATTTTCTTTTGTCTCTCATTCTTTTGCATATTTTGGAGTTTGACAGCTGAACTACGTTATTTAATTTGCATATGCAACAAAAGTCAGACGCATGATTTAGAAGGTGCTTTTATTTAATAAATTGTGATTAATTGGTTAATATTAAAGTTATAAAGAAAGTTATAGCTCATCGAGTAAAGTGTAAAGTGAAGGAGAACATAAAAATATATTGCTGATGTAGCTGCTTTAAGGAGAATAGGAGTGATAAATTTACGCTAATTTCCGAATTTTACAAAAAAGGGCATATTTCAAACCCAATTTGTAAATAAATTAGTGACCCAAAATTACAAGAGTGGATGTTAAAATAATGGGTAGACCCTTGGCTACAAGTGTGTGGAATTTTTTTTGGATCGGGTCACCCCTTTGGATGCAATACCCCGAAATAGGTGGGCCACTTACTAAACAGTACCCCCCAAAAATTATATAAACTTACCATTCAACGTCAGCCATTTTGCCACGNGGATCGGTCGACTTTTAAAGTCGGCTGTACAGAGTCGATCGAAAAGTCGAAAGTCGACTTTCTAGTAAAGTCGAACAACCCTATAATGTGACCAAAATTAGTGATGCGCAATTCGACGTAATCGTACGCATCGATAACGTAGTTTTTGCATTAGGGATTACAATACTTAGCAACAGAGATGCCACTGCTTTTGCGATCATAATACTTTGTTTAGTTGCAAACAGTGTTGCCAACTTTTGAATTTCAAAGAGCACCAGGGAAAATTTTAGTAGACGGACGGCAAATTCTAGAAAAAGGGGGGATGAGGGGGGGTAGAATAGGACCCCCTGATTTCAAAACTACCCCCCTTTTTTCTAGCAACCCTATAGTTGTTATATAATTTATTGTTAAAGTTTTCATATAAACGATGAATAAGATAGCAAAATAACATACAACTTAGTGCTACCAGACTGGAATTTTGAATAATAAAAGCGGATTTTTAATTCGGAATTTTTACTTAGTAGAATTATTATTTCTGTGTTGCCGAAGAAGGGGGGGCTGAACACATTTTGCAGAGAACACCTTTCTGCGTAGGCGGCCTTCGGCCGCACTTAGGG